CAAAAGAATACCGATCACGGTTATACAACGTGTAGGTAATACAAAGGAACGGGTTCCCGTTCGGAAGCGGTGGGTGTTAACCTAGTACACCGGAATTACATTTAGGTAGCCTTTGATTTTTCTAGACTTAGGTGTACGGTTATACAATGTTATTACTAGTTGTTTTTCTTCTTCTTTTGAAACGTCTTGAACCCTTGTTAATCCCGCAGCCTCGCCGGTCGGATCGGACGTGTTTCTCGGTATACCGTTTACACATATTATTATAGTTCAATAGTTGGTATCATAATATGTAACTGTTCTCCACAGGATTACACGAGGGCAGACGACCCGCGAATTGTGGAAGTTATTGTTCCACGTAAAGGCTTCGGTGAAGTAAAAATGTCAACGGGTAGGTCTCTTAAATACCGCCCGACCTGGCTGCGGGTGAAATATAGGTTTATACACACGGGGAGGAGTACACAACGCATATGCGTTGGATTGCATGTTGTTTATTTTATATTGTATACACCCGCACTTACCTTTACAAATCTCAATGATGCGTTTGGGAGAAACTATAAAGGCACGGAAACATATTGTATATTATGATAACGGTAAAAACCCGTATAGATCACGCTGTTTTTTTTATCTTAACCGTAATACGTTGCCCCTGGACAGTTTTGTATAAAAATGATCTAATAAATAATAGATTCATATTATGTTGTAAAATAAAAATCATTAACACTTTCTACTTAAAAAATTTCCAAGGTTAAGTTAGGAAATGTGGAGTTATTTTAAACTAAAACTTTAACGGCTACATTAAAGTGAATACATATATTTTGAGTTTATGAACAAACTTATTGGTAATTATTTAATTGGTTATTGGTCATTAATTGGATACCATTAAGAGAACATATAGTTTTTTTTTGTAGCTCACCCGAGTTACTACCGATTATAATTTTCATTTAAGTTACATGCTACACCTACGAGCAATTTACTGTCAGACATTAATTCTGACCAATGTTGTAACCTCACGGGTCATATGTTTATTCAAATCAGTTTCGGATTTAAACGCAAACTTTCAAGGTTTTATTGTAAGTATTAAGTAGAAAATCTTAGTATGTTATTAATCTTATGTCGATTAATCTATACGGGAAACTGATGATATACTATATTTTATGAGCCTCGGGACACACTGTTTAATACACATCCGCCTTCGATTACCGTCGCACGATTTCATGACCCTAGGGGCTGCTAATTCGTCCCGCGAGTCTATTGTTCGGAGGCTTTTGATTTTTTATTCTATTTTGTTAAGAAACCTACTACCCTGATAGTATAAATCTAATTGAGACGGCCGCATTGTTGTGCGGACGGAACGTGCGCGCCTTGCATTCAGAACAAGCGCTATCAAAATAAATTGCGGTCAATATAAAAGGAAAAGAAGACCGTACGAATCGAACCATGGCTGCACGCGATTTTAATTCTCCTCTGAAGACATTTTGTGCCCCTTTTCAATTCTCTGTTGACGTTTCGCCCGTCAAACCGATTTGACACTTGAATGCGGCCGGTTCGGTGGTTTCGTGATGTCTTTTGAACAGCGAGTACTTACATATAAATGTATACAACAATACTGAGGTATACACTATAAGTTATAACAACCGAAAACGATTTCTAGAGTACACCCGAAATGTCGGTCCAATCGAATTATTGTTATTATAAAAACAGTCGGGGTTTCCTTTTAAAAGCATATACACCTATTCGGCTCGACTTAATTGTAAATGAAACCATATTAAATTACAACTTACGAGTAAATGTCCATAACATTTAATTCAGTTAAGTTGAAAGCTAACGTTAGATTATAAAATTGTACCCAAAAAATGAAGACAACTGAGCCAAAATCCTAAGCGAAATAATCACAAAACTATTCAAGTTGAACAGATTAACCCATCGATAAGCTGTTAATGGTAACTTTTAAAAACGATCTAAGAAAAAAAAATGTTTGAGCATAAAAAAGAATAAAGTATTTTTGTTAGGTTGATAACATTCAACTAACTGAACTGACTGACATTTGAGTTAAACTGGTAACTAAAAAATTCGATTAATCTATAACGTGTTATAGCTCTCTAACGCTTTCCCGGGATGGCTTATACCACTATGCATTCCCGAGGGACGGAACCCTACGTTTTTTTGGGCGTTTGAATTGCTAAATTGCTTTTGAACGCAAATTAAGGATTTATCATTTTTACCATAATGTAGTTATGCAGTAGGGGCGCACCGTTGACTTTTCGGTAACTGATTTGTATTAGGTACACACTCACAATATAATATAACTTTTACTCAACCCGAACTCATCTTGTGGGTTCAATGATTAAAATCGATTTTAGTCTTTCTTTCTTTGATTAATAAATATAATATGTATGTATATATATAGACACTAACGGCGTTAGCATTCGCGTGGTCCCGTCCTTGTGCCCCGTTCACCGTGGGAAAAGGCCCGGGGATTTTTTTAAATAATATTGTTTTTTTTAATAAACCTATTCGGGAGTTATACACCTTAATCACTGCGGCTGCAGAACGGCGTATGTGCGGTAGGACTCATTCATAGTATTAACAATAATAGTAGTGTAATGTATATTTAAATAACGCATCTAAATACCGAGCCGGCGGACATAATTAACCACCGCACACGGTATTTTCCCTTTATTAAAAACTCGATATTTATAAGTTCAAACCCAATTTATAACACCAGCGTTCCGCCTGTCTGTGTTTCAGTCGGCCGCTTCTGTTTTTCCTTAAAAAAAAAAGTATAATATATTATATTATTTCGTTTAGTATATTATGTTTATAGTAGTATGTTACTAGCCGTGTTGCTGCCGGTCATACGTAGGTACAAACCGCCACCGCCACCGAAACCAATACTAATAACTCAAAATATAATTAGAAAAATAAAATATACTACTACTTTTAAACTGACCCCGGGCATCCACGGTGTTAGAATGATAAATATTAATATGCGCCAGCAGGTACTTATATGAATATTTGCACTTGTATATGAGCATTAAAACCAACCACAACGAGCTACTGTAATATTGTTTTTTTATAGTTTATATTATACATTAAACCTACCGTCGTCGGCCATGTCCTTAAGCGGCGTCGGCTGTTATATATTATTCCAGAAACGTTAAAGAACTAATTATATGTGAAAAAGATACCTCTCTCTCACGCAGGCATTGCCGCCGTTGTCGATTATTATTAAACGAGCTACAGAGAGTTTGTACAAAAAAATTAATTCGATATTTTTAATAATATATTATATTGTATAAATGCAATATAATAATTACATTTTTTTTTCTTCAAAGGGATTAGGTTCTTTTTTTGTGTGTGTGCAACGCCGACGCCTATTTTGACAATTGTGATTTTCGCGGCACATTATTATATATTATCTAAAAATCTGACGTTTTCGAGGCACACGTCATGGACCGAATGACCCGGATCATTCTAAGTGGACGTTACGGTTGAATACTGTGTATAATATATAGCATCGGCGGTGAAGATTTTTGAGTGATTTTTGACGTGCGTTGCCAAAACTGCGTGGCACCTGCCTTGTGTACTGCTCCAGGTACAGATATCGTATTATTATGATTTATCAATAACATATAATAATATGTATACGACCACAAAGTGCCAAGTCGATGTTGGATGCGACAGCCGATTTCTATATATATATATATATTTATATATATAAGGGAAAAATGCGCCTGCGCCTACACGCCGTTAAGTCTATCTAATAATTGCATTAATACAAAAATGGGTTAAAATCTAAGAGTAGTTAGAATTTTCGCCAATACTAATGATATATACTATAATAGCGCCAATAGCAACTTCGGTGATGTATTTTTTTAGCACGATAACACAATACTATATTTATTGGCTCGTACCTGTAAGTATGGATAATAAGTACATCAATTTATATAAATACATGTATACATATTATTTATATAACTGCTATATATGTACGGGCTTTGGGTGGTGCGTAATCGAGGTAGCTGCCGGACTGTGACGAAAAATTTAATAATTACACACATGCATGTACCGAGTAGATAGGTAGGTACTTATATACATAGGTACGTATATTATACACTCGATAATAATTATAATATTTCTTTGGACCGATCTTTAGTAGATCATCTGGCGCGACCGAGAGTAATGCCAAACGAAAGGATTTATGACATGTTTAAATGCTTTTTGTCCAAAAACACATGTTTTTTTTTTAGCTATAGGCGGTCCGGGGCTCCGATTATGCACACTAGGTCCTATGTACGTTGTAATATCTTTTGATGGTGTGCCGTCAAATTATTCATGTGTAAAATATGTATATTGCGCCCGGAGGATGAGATTAATGAGCTAGATTTTTTTTTTCTTTAATTTTTCGACCTTGGTTGTGTTACATACATAAATATGCGATCGCCGATCGGTCGTCGTCGTATATATAGGCAAAACTCATACTTAGGTCCTATTCATCAACTTTTCAGCAGCGTATATATTATAGTGTAATTATTTTAAAATAATTTATTTTGTAATTACACACAAGCGCGCGCACGTCTTTAATTAATAAAACATCTACAAGTAGAGTATACACACACAGTATATTCAACAAGTCAAAAATCCGCACATCAACTTATTGTCAAGTCGAACAAAGTCGATATGATCTGATTTAATAACAACGAGTATAACATGTACTTTACTCTTCAGTTTTAATATTAAATTTGTTATTTGGTATTCGTTTGACCGGAATTCACAAGAATGACAAAATACATTTGCATCGTTCAGTCGAGTCTTACAATATAACCACTATAAGACTCAATATCGCGAGTTTACTTGACACGAGTATTATAATAATACAATGCGATCGAGTTAGTCCGGTTAAGTAAACACAAATAACCAACAGGGTTTAACGTTTTAAATAAATTGCATTCGTGTCAACTTGGCCGTACCCATTTAAATGCGTTTTTGTGTGTTCGCAGGTTCCAGACTTCCAGAGTGCCCTGACCGGTAAATCCTGTAACGAAGGATGGCCTACCGAACAAGAAATAATGGTAAGTGTTTCCTTTTTTTTTTCTTCGGTGTTTTTAATTTAGCCGCCGTTTTTTCGATTAGGCTGCCGGTAGAAAATGGATTTTAAACGCGTATACCCATCACACACACACATAGCCCCGGGCTTGTATAATGAGAGTAGTAAAACACTCTGCGCGCATTGCACACATACACACACGCACATAATATTATTATACGGACGGGCGACCAATAGAATATAATATAGCTGACGATATGGAGAGGGTATAAAAAAATAAAAAGGAATAGAAAATTATAAAAATCGCTTCATCACGGCGGCGACGGCGGCGGTGTCGAATCTTTGAACTTGACATGACATGTGGCGCCACCTAATCTGCCGGCCACAATGTTATTACATGTATACATCCTCTACATATATAGGTCTCAGTCCGTTTCAAGACGAGTAAATAATTCTCCATTCCCCCCCCTCCCCTAGGCCCCTGACACAAAAAAAAATATTATGAAAGGCCATATTAAGAATAAGCTGTTGCAGTACAAATGTACCTGTGTACGTATAACCATGCTTAGTTTATAATTTATTTGCCTGTCGTTAGACACGTTAAACAAAACCGTGATATATATTTATCTACTTGTGCTGAGTTTTCCATTTCAATTAGACCCATTAAGGAAAAATAATAAATAATTTCGTGCACACATCTCGCATAGCACGTGGAAGTAGAAAGGTTAGGCGTTAACCGTAGGGGCACGAATTATTCACATCTCGAATTATTATTTATTACTAAAAAACGATATTATTATAAGCTACATAATGCTATCTGAATAATATTATGTACTTGTCTTAAAAAAATATCCTTAAATTTGTTTTTTCTTTATTTGATTTATACTTATGAAAACTAGGAGACAGCTGGGGAGGACTCGTGTCTAGTGTAAAGAATCCAATTGAAACTATTCTATTTATTCTCAGTCGTTCACTTATTGAGTAAAAAAAATAATTCTGAGTTTTGTTTTCAAATTCTATAGCTGAAATATTAGGAAAAGGGAATAATGTAGCGTTCCTGATACGTTATACCCGCGGTAAATTATGAATGTCTGCTATTGTGTTACAGTCACTGGTCAATAAAATCGTCGACGGCCGCTTAAACTAATAAAAAGTGCTTGGCAAACCAATAATAATTACACACGATAGCGCATTACAATGATTTAATGACTCCCAGTATACATAGTATACACGGGCTACTTTTTTTTGTTTTTTTATTATTATTATTTTTCTGATTGTTCGTGTGATTTTTTATTCTCTATTAATACTTACATAATAACGACCTTATATATTGTAAAAAAACGCACGCCATCTCCCGCGGACGAATATTTTTGGATATTTTAATTTTTTTTATTTAGGTCATACTTCGCGCGTCCGGTTATTATTAAATTATTATTGTGATTTGTACGCGAGGTAAACGCGGTTACAATTAAATAACTTCGAAATATTATTCGGGGGCGACCAGAGGTGTTGACTTATCGGTCGCGGTATCGTTCGTCTGTTGTCGTGTTCACAATAGACCAAAAAAAAAAAAACACAATAATATCGTCTTATTGAATATAATACGGTTTTTTTTTTACACTCGATACCGTCTCTGTCGCCGCTCAAACCGCACACTCATCGTCATTAAAACGGGCTTACACGAGTTGCATCGATGAAAATATATTACGTACATGAACGTATAGAGAATAAAAAAATAAGTGTGTATATAATTAAATTTATGACGTCGTCAGATAATAATGTATAACGCGTACCGTACTGTGAGCGCATTCGGTTGACCGTGTAATGGTCAACGGCTTATCTCGTGATCTTATTGTCGGTTAAAATAATACAAACAAAGAGTGAATCTTCTGTTCGCCGCCGTTTCCACACGACCTTTTCAATACTGTGTTCTTTGCGGAAACTACCGGCGGCCATCGTTAACGTTCGAAAGTGTTTGATATTGTTCTTTTGTATTGTAACGTTGAAAAATTGAAACGTGGATCAGTCGAGTGTCTGTCATTGTGGTATTATCTTCACCCCCCTCCCTCTCTCCAACACGGGCGTAAAACTTGTGAATTACACTTGGTTGCATACAATTAGTCGCAAAGATTTTTTAACTTACATATATCACTGATTGTCCGAAATTCGAATAAACGTACGGGTCGCGTTGAGTCTATAAAAACTGACATTTTTTTTTATAGTAGCGGAGCGTGGTGCACACTTGAGTAATTTTGATATGTCTAAATGAGCTACTATTACAAACGTTTCATATCAAATAATAAATTTACGTATTTCCATTTACTTTAGTCTATATTATCTACTTCATGTCATTGCTTAGCCGGTCAAGGCGTCAAGGGCTGAGGATCTACCCTGCCCCTTTGGTGTTTAGGAGTGTATTCATTTGTATTCAATAATTATAATTCGATCTAAATAGTCGTATATACATGTCAATAGTTTGTAACCAGATATCTTGTATTGATCATGTTGATGTTGATTAGATTTAGATGTATTACATGGTTGGCTAAAATGTCAATAATTTATTCTTTGTTTGTAAATCAGGTCAACTTATAGTAGAAATATAAATAGCTTGGCTAATTAAGACGTCATCACAGTGAAATATAGAAAACACAAATACGCGGGTACCCGCAAATATAATTGGCTATGTTAAATTTGGCGGTTTGGCATGCGAAAAAAAATAATACCTACTCTTGTGTATTATAGTATAATATATTATTATTCTAAAACCCACATTAGCGCGCGCGTTACATGTCTCTATAAACTCCACTCGACCGCGCACCACCTCCCATTACACGCCCATGCAGTAGCCGAGCTGTGACGGCTGTTCATTACACATATAAATACTAATGCGTGTGTGTGTGTGTGTGTGTATTGTAAAATCCATACTGGTATAACATTAAGTCGGTGTGCGCATTTTTGTATTGATACAAAGTACGATACGATAGGGTAAACGTTAAGGATGGGCATGTTTAAAAAGTTAAAAGTTTATTAAGCTTAGTCATAACAATATTATTGACTCAATAATAATAATAATAATATGGCGAGTTCAACGTTTAGCTTTTAACTGGACCGAGTTAATTGAATGACTAATTAATTATCGTAACTGTTTGGGTTACACCTAATATACGCAATAGGAAATAAATATAAACTTGTATAATATATTGACAACGATAGCTAATATCAACGAGTATATATTATAGGTATATACTCAATAATTTTAACTAGCCTAACTTAACGCTGATATAAATCTCATCAACTGTACAGCCGCGGCCTTGTTATTTTCTGTTATAACTTGTTATGTACCTATTAAAATTTGACGTTTTTGAAAATGTAGTTTAGAAGAAGATTTCGCTGACAGGTGAACCATAATGGTCTGCACGTCAAACGACTGGAGAGCTGTCGTCCCCGTTCTTGTATAGTGTCTTTTGTGCCGTGGTTTCTCTATACGGATTACGGATACCACAATGCGCGACATATTATATTATTATAAATATAATATAGAAACGAATGTCCGTTTTTTCTCCCAAAATGTTTACGTTTCCACGCCACCGCAGCCGCCGCAGTTGACAATAATAATAATAATAATAAAACGTTTATATCCTTCAGCATCCGCACATCCGGTCCGGTCTCGGGTTACGCCGGTCTTGGAGACGGTCTGATCTCCCCCATTCGGTATGTGTCGGGTTAGAGCAAACCGATTGACCAACTCATGTTATCGTTGATTTATTTACTAAAATATACATCGAACTGTTAATCGCTGTGCTAAAATATTTCATTAGCGGACAAATCAATTTGTGCACTTTTCCAAAAAAAACCCGTTAAAGCGGGTAATAGTGATGTGTACAAACATTTTTTACATACCTACGTATAGTTCATAATATACCGGAAAAAAGCTTGAAAATAAAATAATTTTTTTTGAAATTTTGCGATTAAGTGAAACGCATGTTCCACTACGAGGTACTTAATAAATGGCATGGTCGTCCTTCGGTTTGAACCGTGAAGACTCGGCGAATATAGATTTCATAATAATGTGCACGTGTAGCACGCTCCACGATAATTGTTATAATTTGATTTCAACGCAGTGTTGTGTTTATCTGTGTTAAATATTAATGTCTTACCGCAGAAACGATTTGCAAAATTCGGTTTGGGCTCATACGAATACCGCGACCTTCGTAGGGACGACTATACTACTTATGTTACGGTTGAGATCTCTTAAGTGGCCATACATACATATAGACCGTCGACACAGTTCAAAATGATGAACAAATCAGTAATATTTTGGGCGACAAACTTCACTGTAAATTTTGTACAACTTTACCTATAAGAAATACATCATTGTAAAACCAGTGTGTTCTCAAATACTTATCTAAAAACATTACTTTTAATTATTTCATTTACTTAAGTATAGCTCAGCGGATTTAACACAAATTTTTAATTTGACGGTATTGATTTTATCGGTCGCCGAGTCGTACCTAATAACTGTGTTTACTGGAATGTAAAAATACATGATTCTCGATTATATACTGTATCTTTGGACATCGCAGGTCACGTTTATTCAACTCGCACTTGCCGTCTAAGGCCCTTAAGAACATATTGTAACGGATTTTCCTTGTATTATAATAAATCGCACGCGTACCATCTTTCCATTCATCTTGTTTTTTTCCCATTCATCGGCATAATATTACATTATAATACAGGCGAAGGGTTACTTATAATTACACCCATCGAGGTTTTTCATTCATATAGCTGTTATTTTCAAATGCTTATGCTTATATTAATCACCACTCGCTATAGGTATGCCTCGCGTCTATTGTAACCAATCGGTTTTTGTTCGGTCCTCGCTCACGTGAACGTCCAAAATTAGTTTTGATCCCGTTTCTGGTTTTTAATAGAGTAAAAAACGTACACACGTGATCGACGAACCTATTATAATATGTAAAGGAAAAGTATTCTTAATATTATGTACAGTTGGTTTTTTTGTGTCAGCTGGTAGTAAGTATAATATATGCCTTATAGGTCTGCGCATGTTATACATACCTAACCCGCGTGTTCCCTAAAGCCTTATAATATGGAAATGATCGGAGTGAACTAAAATCAAAAACCAAATATATTATAATAATACCCGTCGGGACTCGTGTCGAAGATGAAATAAAATTTGTGTTTGTCGTCGTTCGCATTTAGCCGTTGGCTATGAATATCAAACATCTAGATCGGATTCGGACGCCGTAATGTTGTTTTTTTTGTAATAATTTAAAACCTAATTTATATATTACATTAAAAAAAAAAGCGATACGCACACACAACACCAACAAAAAGGTTTCTTTTTTCTAACCACGTTTTAATGTATTCCGCAGCCGTCGGGCGTACTTATACTTGCCGAGCAGCTTTGTCCGTGCTCGCTACAAGACGTGTAGGTATACGGTTTTATACTTCATACAAAACGTTTTTTTTCAATATTAAAAATCAAACAATTCCAACGAAGAAGAGAGTGTGGAAACAATTTCCAAACGGGGAATTTGGCAGCCTAGACAAACCGACAATAATCATGAATATTCAAACCGCGTATAATACATTGCTTACATGCATATATTAATACATTACATACATAGGTTGTACCATTGTGGGCTCAAAAGCTCCGCGGTTTTTTTTACTTAATTAAATAAACAGTTAATTGAAATTAATAAAACCGCGTGGTATTGCGCCAAGAAGCACACACAAAGAACAACCATTATAACTCTAAATTATGGAGGATTTAATGGCTGGGCTCGCACAGCGAATCACAAGGAATTAATTTTTTCATTAACTACGTCATCGCTATGTCTGTAATATACACTATCGCTGACATTCATCATGCCCGGTCGATGATCGTCAGAAGCGCGCAATGGCCGCATAATTATAATACAATGCCAATTTGTGGTTTGAAACTGGTATTTGCTCAAGTGTATAGCCGCCTTATACATTATTTATCCGCGTACCACGTCACACGTTCTACGTATAAAATATTATTTATGCATAATTATTATTTATTATTCTATTTTTTAATTACCGAAAATTATAACCCGTTTTGATCGTGGAACGGTGAGACAATATTTCAAACAATATTATGTATTTTTTTTTTGTATATAGACGTACCTATACAGTCTCAGTGATTTAGGTTGTTTTTTATTAACCGTATTATGATTTATATACTTCATTGTACTATGCTATATTAATTTGTTGTTATTGCTCGACGGTCGAGTTATGTGCATAATAAATTATTCATTATTGCGCTCCTGCTCTGCGAAAAACTATTGTCCGTAAAATCAAAGTTCTATTCACAATATTTAATTATAATATAATATATTACCATACAAAAAAAAAAGTTGAAACTAAATAAAACCGATTAAATATTCAAAATAAACCATTACGCTTTATTACAATGTGTGTTTTTGTTTGTGTTTCAGGAACATCCCGGTTTGAGGAACACCCCGTTGGCCATGTTGGCTGCTCAATGCAACAAACTGCAGAGCAAGTCCCCGCCACCTCTTGCGGACGCCGCCGTCGGCAAAGGTTTCTATCCTTGGAAAAAGAGCCCGCAACAGCAGTCCAACGACATGTCCGGTTCGCCATTACAGCAACAGCAGCAGCAACAACAACAACAACAACAACAACAACAGCAGCAGCAACAGCAGCAACAACAGCAGCAGCAACAACAACAGCAGTGCCAGCAAAGGAATCCTGTGTCCAGCGCGGCCGAATCACCGCGGCCCGTGGTCACGTCCACTTCGTCGGCTCCTTCCACGCCGGTACCGGCGGGCGCCGGTTATCCGCCTCCGCCACCGCATCACGGCAACATCTACTTCGGCGGTGGACACCAGACGCTGACAGACAACGGCCATCATCATCATCAGAGTCCGCTGTTAGGCAAAGTCGACAACCACAGCGCGTTGTACGGCCGTCATCCGTACGAATGGCCATTCAACTCAATGGGTACCGCGGGACACCACGCGCCAGCTATCAAGACGGAATCCGTCAATCCCGCTTGGTGGGACGTGCACGGAAGCGGATGGCTCGATATGAGTGGCGGTAAATATTATTATCTTTACATATTTGAAAACTGAGTTCTCGTAGTATTTTTATGAAATAAATACTTTCTATTTTTAAAAACTAATAATAATTATACAAAAGGTTCCGTCAACCGTCGAATAATATATGAATTTGTTTAAAATGGGAACTTTTATAAATAAATCAAAACCGAAACAGTCGTATAATAGATTCGTTTTTAATGTATAATGTACTATAGATTATTAGTTTATAACAATGCAGGTGACCTTGATTTTATTTATCCAATGCCCTCTCAGGGTAATAACGTAACATAAGTTTTCAATTTATAAAAAAACAAGTCTTATAGTCTAAATCAGTCTTAATTAGATTAACCTTACAAATGAAGAATTTTGATATTTTTCTTATGCTTAACCCTCGAGAAGTCTTGAGCATCGTGGACGATAACTATTACATATTATATTAAATATTACGTGTATAACGGTCGAGGTTCTTCTTAACCTCCAACAGTTAATCGTTTCCGAATAGTAAAATAAGGTCGACAGTGATCGTATGAATCGTGATCGCCTACTCACGGTGGATTTCGTCATTAAAAGTGTACATGAACTATGATTAGGTATATTATTATAATGTTCCTTTCACAAATTCTAATTCTTCGAAAAATATTCCGTTTAGCATTAAAAATTTCCGTCGCGAATTGGCTAATTTACCGAGTTTTTAATTATGTTTTTAACCCGACCAATGTGTTATGTTTGCGCAGGTATGCACGCTCAGATGGCCAACTACGCCGCTCAGTCGGACTACTCGTCGTTGAGCCACTCGTTGGCCGCGTCCAACACGGCCCATCATCTGTTTTCGGCCAACCAACACTTTTTACAAGACACTTATAAGTCCATACTGCCCGGCGCTCAGACATCTTTCGGACTCAGCCATCACCACCATCCGTCGGCCGTCACGTCTTCGGCGCCCGGCTCGTCGCCCGGTTCAGCGGCCGCGGCGGCCGTGTCGGCGGCGTACAACTCGACACCGCAGACGCCGTCGCCGCGTACCCAGCGCCGGTACACAGGCCGTGCCACCTGCGACTGTCCCAACTGCCAGGAAGCCGAGCGGCTCGGACCGGCCGGAGGCCATCTCAAGAAGAACGTGCACAGTTGTCACATACCCGGCTGCGGCAAGGTTTACGGCAAGACTTCGCACCTGAAAGCTCACCTGCGGTGGCACACGGGCGAACGGCCGTTCGTGTGCAACTGGCTGTTCTGCGGCAAGCGGTTCACCCGGTCCGACGAGCTGCAGCGGCACTTGCGCACCCACACCGGCGAAAAAAGATTCGCTTGTCCCGTGTGCAACAAACGGTTCATGCGGTCCGACCACCTGGCCAAGCACGTCAAGACGCACAACGGCAACAGCGGCAGCAAGAAGGGCAGCAGCGAGTCGTGTTCCGACTCCGAGAACAGTCAAAGCGCGGCCGACGGTTCTTCACCGCACGCCCAACACCAGCAGCAACAACAACAACAACACGGCCAGCATCACCAACAACAGCAACACGGCGCGCCACCACTGTTGTCCCTGCACAACAACATGACCGACATGGTGGACGTGAAGCCGCCGCTCGGCATGCCCGGGTCGGCCGCCGGCCTTGTTCGATGGAGTCCCGTGGTCAGTTCCGTCGGCTCGGTGGTGCCATTGTCGCCGCCGTCGTCGCACGTACCACCACCGCCGCCGTCGTCGTTCATGCCTGTACAACAGCAACAGCAGCACCAAAAAGACCCGAAGAACGCGTTCTGCTGGAACAAAGATCCAAAAATGTACCAAGAAAAATTGGAATGACTATTACCGTCACAGGCGGCTGCCTCACAGTACCACCAACAACACCGCCACAGCAACAACAACAACACGATGTTGCTGATGCAGCCGCCGCACTCAGTTTTCTAGTCTGCAGTACAACACCATGGCTATTGTACTAGATGTCATGCAAAACCGGCGCCCGACTGTGGATACAATATTAACTAAAATACAATAATATTGTCCGTTGTGTTGTTAATATATTATAATATTTATAAGAGGATTATAATTGATGTGTAATCGCGGAGCGTCGACTAAACAATCAAAAAATAATGTATACTGTTTATATTATCCATTTTTGGATAAATGTATAAAATATTGTTGTTCAATTATGATCATCCCAGTTCGATATCATAGACAAAAAAAAATATAGTTTTGTTGTACATTATAGTATATCTATATTTATATATTAAAAAATTGTAATTTTGTTTTCTTATTGTTACATTTTGCCTTGTATAAATAAAAATAAATTAAATACCGTGTACAGTTGAATAGAGACCAGTTTCTGTATAATATTAAGCGCTGCATATATTGTATTATCTAGTGTATAATAAAATATTATTAACTATTACATTGATGATAAAATAAAAAAATAAAAATAGGTACGAAATAAATTATAATTTTTGTTGTCTCATAAACCACCACTTTTTTTTTCAACCCAATATTACCATCTATTCTGGCACATGTGTTACGCGGTCTCCTGTGCCGATGCTTGAGGGTTGATTAGTATTTATTTTTTATTGGCATTTCGTGTCCGACGCCATTGAGCGCGTTTTTCGTTTTTGAAAACCTTGACGACCGAAAGCCAAACACAGCACCGCCGCCTCGTCCATTGCAGCAAGTCTGTTCACACACACACACACACCAAAATCATTGTACTTGTGTGTATTTTAGTGTAGTTTATTTTTGTATAATTGTCGGTCTACAAACCGCATGTGACTTGTAGTCGAAGGGTTTGTGGCGCAGAGGTGGGTTCAACAATGAAGGGACAAGGGCAGCAATCGCCTACTTATTAAAGTTAGGCTGATTATTTATGTTTCTGGACAGGTACAAAACTCTTACATTTGGTGTATATTATTATAGAAATTACAAAAAAAAAAAAAAAAAATAGTAGCTTAACTAAATTTATAATGTTAACTTATTTTATACTCAGCTTTGTAATACATAATAAAAACGTTCTTGAGCATTTTTTTTTTTAATTTTAAAAGTTTTTTTTATTATTAACGAACCAGTGATTATGAATAACTATGTCAATAATCAAGTAACAAAATCAGATCAAGAGATAAGCGTTCGTATCAGTATTTTTTTACTAAAAGCTTAATAGCCATTATTACTTTATTTTTATAATTCAGTATCCAAAGCACCGAAAACCATATTTTCTACTAGCGTTGCCTGGATTTGTGCCCCCGCCCATTTCTTTAAATAGTATAAACTATTCAAACGCTTAATACATAATATTATATTGTATTCAATATGTTTGAATGTGTTAAAACTTTCTTCTTATGATTGTTTAAACGAAATAAGTGCTACACTGTACTTATGTAAAGGTCCTTGGGCCTTGAATAAGGTTTAACTCGAATTAATAACATAAACGACGCTTCCCGTTCCACTTTATTGTTATTATTGTTGTTGTCGTTGTTATACCGGAAGTGTTGACAAAAAAAAAAAACCCCCACGGCCCATTAACATTTATAATGAAATTACCGTTCAACCGTCGAACCCGACAATTGTTTATAGTAACAATCCTGACCTAATCATCGGCTCTGTAATTGTGTATACGCGTTTACATAATCTATAGGTTACGTATACACAACTGACATAAAAAAAAACCATTTGGATTTAAACATAATAGGTAAACATAATTAAATATCACATTATTCTATTTGTCGTTTTCTGCTATGGCCGGCGACAAAATGAACCTAAAAAAAAATGTTACCTACAGTTTTCTATCACGAGGAATTGGTGATCGAGAAATTAATTCATTCTGTGTAATGTGACTCACAAAGCATATTATATAAACGCTGGATTTCAGTGTTTGTGAACTAGCTAACGAATGGCGTAACCGTTTTGTTGACCGCCTTGCTACACGTGTGTCACTTAGGGACACCGGGCAAACCGCTGTCGAGCCTATAAAAAATCAGATCATGATTGCGCCTGACTACTTAATTCGGGTCGATCGCCTTGAGCAATACGCTATTCTGTCTGTCGGTTGGTGTAGTGACTATGCCACGCCGGCCTGAGGAGAAGAAAACAACTCTTGAATAATAAGAATGATAAAAAAAAAAAACACTTCCTAAGAAATGTTTCCAGGAAATAATCATAATTCGATACTACATAGGTCGTCAAGTATTCCAAACAAAAAAAATTTATGTCTGTCACTTCAAAATTTGTAAAAACTGAACTTGTAGACTAGCTGTTGGCGGCTAATGGACTATAGTGACGAATGGGATATTTTAGGGTCTGGACCTGTAAAAACAAATAAATACATTTTCCTAGGTATTATGAATGGAATAGGTTAATTAATATTTTTACAGGTTCACGCGTTAGGCTATTTTTGATACTCTAGCTTTGAACGCTGATGTGGAGTGAACCAATACTATCAAAAATATACCTTAGATCATACTTGTGTGTCATAAACTCATTATTGTAAGACATTACTCTTTATATTGTTCAACAGAATAGAACTGCATACATTAACAGCTAATACCTACCTAGTACGCATTTTATCCGTCTGGTAGCTAAATACAATAGAATCGTGAATACTTTTTTTTTTAGATTTTAACGAACAAAATATAAGTCATAATTATTATATTTATTCGGAATAACGAGAAAATGTTTTTTTTTTATATTCTGTGATTATAATTAAATAAGCAAGAGCTTAATTAAGAAGGATATCGTATTCGTTTTGATTCCAAGACTACCTCAGTGGACTGTAAAATTACAGGTTGAAAACTATACAAATATTATTTTATATAATGTTAATATTTTAGACATACATTCTTCGCCGAACCGTGTCAAGTAACCAAGTCCTCGATACCTATATAATATTATGTGCTTGAATTGTTTATGTAGAATTCAGTGAAACGTTGTTGGTGCGACTATACATATTAAAGTTAATGATTTCTATTTGATTTGAAGATTGTTAAGTTCAGATGTCTTTTAAAAATGACAGAAGTGTAATTAGTAATTACATATCTAATTCAACAATTATAGCAGAATAACAATGCATTTTATGTTTGGCATGAGTTTTCTCAGGACTTCTTGAATTGTCTACGGAAAATTTACTTAAGCTTTGTTTGATTTTGAGTTTAAAGTGATTCAATTATAATGGCTAGCACTATCAAAATGTAATAGGAACCCTAGGAATACCTCATCACAACAGAAAAAGAGGCTTGGATCTGTTTAGTTGCATTGGCTATATTATAAGTTTATTATTTTTTTAAATTCAGAATAATTTTCTGAAAAAGTTGACTGGTTGATAACCAATTTTGAATAAATAGTTTTAAAGTTTAACTTTAAGGACGGGAAGTAGAGTACGGTTCATTAATGCGCCCAGATAAAAATAACTCTACGCTCCTCCCTTCCTAAATTTTAAACTTTATTAACTGTGAAACTATTAATTCAAAACTGGTTATCAATCAGTCAACATTTTCAGCAAATTATTTTTCATTTATTTAAAAAGTCAAATAAATATACATGTTACCATTTAAACTTCAAAATTTGATAAAGCTTTATAAAATACTTAGAAAGTTAAAAAAATTGAGTATTGTCTAATATTGTGACATGACATTAACAAAAATGTTTTCAAAGACAAAAAAAAAAAATCATCCGGTTTATAATATATTGAACACTAAAACATTAATGTGTAAAATTAACTCACTGAAAGTGCATGTTTTTCTAGACCGTCACGACTATCGCTGTGTATACTTAGATATCTACATAATAAAACGTACTATGGTGCAATAGAAGTTGTTTTTTTTTTTAGGAAGAAATTTAATTAAGCGCGAAATAAAAAATTAATTGGAACGTTAGATGCGTGTTCTAAGCGATCGACGGAATAAATGAAATCTGGGCTGTGTGTTGTTTTTCTTTTTTTTAATTCAACAGAAGCTTTCGCCAGCAAGTCAATGACACCGATGGTGGTCCAGTATGTCGTACCGAATTGTTTCTCACGAAAGGATAAATCGATTAACCGGTAACGAGAAACTAATTTCAGCGTTTCCTGTGGAAATAATTATTTTTATTAGAATGTTTTTAATCGAAAATTGTTGTTTTTGTGTATACATATTTTTTTAATAATTCATCATGTAGTGATTTTTATTTAACGGTATGTGGATTATAGCAACGCTGTTATCACTAAAATAGAACCAAGAATAGTTGAAGAAATCAAGAATAGAATCATAGTTGTTCTTGCGCACAATTTGCATTTAATTTTAGGTATATGCTTGAGTTTCCTATGTGATGTTTTTGGTTGCCCAAATGTTCACCAAGTAGAAAACAAAATATAATGCAATGAGCTAATATTAGAGTAATGAGCATTATACATAGAAGAGGACAGACGATTATAAGGTAAGGGTAGGTGTGTGTTAAGATTCGGCTTTGTCTCTTCATCTGTTTAAGCTTCGGTGGTTGGTAAAATTAGTTATTACTAATTACAAAGCTGATACTAGAATACACTAAGTTTGTGGATGACAAAGTGCTATTAGGATAATGCTAAGAATTGGTTGTAAATTAAAAGGAGTTTTCGAAAGAAACAATGAGAAAATTAGTTTAGAAGTAAGTTTAGAGAGTAAATAAAGATATCAGTGAGAGAAATATAGTTTAAAAGAAAAACAATAAGTGGACATGAAATATCTGAAAACGATTTATCGCAGCTCAGGTAATAATCATGTTTAAAAACTAAAAGATACATTTTACCTATTTCCTCTTAATTATTATACAATTAGTAATAATGTAGTTTCATCGATTTTCTCTTTCAGTATTTTTAAAACAGTATTTTAACTATTCGGTTTAAATAGTACAGCTGTTTATTAATATTGCCTTTTTTAAAACTTAAAAATAGTAATATCTACTTATACCTATTGTTTTATTGTCAATCCGAATTTTTAATGCATATTGAGGGTTCCATACTTTTGCTGTTCCAACAATGGAGTGATAAACTTTAGGCTTAAGAGCAAAACCTCTTAAAAAGTTCTGTGACTAAAATTAACATTTTTAAAACGATTTTTTAATTAGGCTTTGGACATTTCAACAATTGCACTTGATTGGTGATTATTATTAAATATGTTTTGCTATTTTTTATTTTATACAAATACATGCCAAACGGGTTTTTAACAGCAGAAAAATGATCAATAATCATAATACTTTGTTCAAGGTAAGTGTTGGCATTTTTTTACAAGAACATACTATAATAAACG